GTTACCGTTGCCGGCATCGCGTAACGCACTGATCAAATGACACTAAGTTTCTAATTTTACTACACGTATGAAAACATTAACCATTAACGTATCAATTTTTTTCTCCTTCGAACACACACACCAAAATTTGCAATGAATTGACTGTCCGTTAATGATATTCAAAATAAATCATAAGTTAGATAAGACATCCTGATCATCACGACTGAGATACATCATGAAGGCTAAGCGTATAATTCAATGATAACATTTTTCCCAGAACTCAAGACAGGTGAGCGTGTTCTAATATACGATATGCATTGAACATGGCTCATGCATGACTCTAGTTACCGAGTTAGGATATACTTTAGATTGAAAAAACAAGTACTTAAAAGAATTTCCATCAAATGAGAATAAAATCCACTAGGGCACTAAGTGGAAATAAATAAAAACTATAAAATCCACACTATAAAATACACACTATAAAATCCACTTTTGCCCACTAATAGGGCAAAATATACTGCGAGCAAATATTGATTCTAGAACAAATAAATTCCCTGAGTGGTCTGCTACATAAACCTACAGACCACTCGTCCTTGGACTTGAGTGCGCGCACAATTTACTCGCCTCTCCCAAATCAGAAACCCTATAAAAATGTGCGCCGGGAAATTTCATTGAAGGAATCTCATGGCCCGAATGCGCGAGGGTTTCCTTATATGCGACTTCCATGTTTGTTAAGATCAGCGGCCTTCACACGGACAGCGGAACTGGCAGGCCGTACGTGAAAATGCTGACGGTACGCAGACCGCGGTCACGCCACTTTAAACTATATAGAACGTGAAATAAGGAAACGTACGCTTTAACATCATATTCTAAACGCAAATAACTCGTTTCTGAGCCCTTGGAAATTTTGCTAGCAAGCGACCGCGTGATTTTTCGAAATAACGACGAAGAACTGGAAACAATTAAAGTAGCTCGTTTAATATCAAATCAAGTCTTGTGCACAGTTGTGAACAATCTTATAAGCTGAGAATTGATATTCATAAACGGGCAAAACTGTTATAGTAATTAATATGCGGAATGTAGCATAGTATGTACATTCATGTAATTTATGTACATTATAACATAATGGTTTTATAGCGCATCAACTATTAAACCATCTCGCAAGGGAATAACAAAATAAACATCATGCATACGATGGAAGATCTTGATCATTACAAATATCTTGAATAAAAAAGAAACGTGCAAAACCTGCCGGACAAGAGGTATAGCGTTAGCATCTCAGTGAGCCAAAAAAAAAACAAATAAAATGATAGGAGAACAGCAGAAGAAACGAAGATAGCTTAGATAGACGAGACGTGGCCAACAGCACAGAAAAAATAAGAGAGAAGATATATCAAAATATAGTATTATTAATGTCACTATCATTAATCAGTACCATTAGCACTTGAATATGTGCAGAGTATCCTTCCGAAAGCTACAACAACGTAACCCCACAATTGAGACCCGCAGTCAGATGTGGCGGTCTGACGTGGCCCTCAGGGGCTGTTCTTGTGGAACGTGAAATGGCATAAGATTTTTGATGAGAAAATAAATGCGTCACAAGACCTCTAGAAGCACCAGTAACGCAGGGATAACTTAGGTTCGAAGTCAGGAAACATACAAAACACATAATTTGGGAAAAGAACAAATCAACAAAAGTATTTAAAATTGAGTACAAACAAACAAATATATTTTCAAACACAAATAAATATCTACTTAAAAAACAAATATTTTTTTTTGCATAATGGTTTCCGTATTAATTTTTAGACAACTGATAGGTAATCACAATATAATGATTATGAGCACTTTTCATGTTTTTACATTCCGAAATAGCAAATTGCCTTTCAAGACTTGGGAAATTAGAATTATTATTCGAAAAAGTTAAAACTTACTGCAAAAGAACCACCTCAATCCCCTCAATGACCCGTGCAGTGTGTGAAAAATAATAATAAAAAAATCAATTGGCGAGAATTATATTTACTTCAAAACTTAATAGTCCCGGTTGAACGCAAGTAGGCCAGAAAACCAGTCCAACTTTAGTAATAAAATTAAAGTCGCTCGAGTCGCACGAATTCATACCGGTTCAATAGGTTCTTCGCATTAAAAAAAGCTGTCGTTGTAAGAAAGTGGAAGGTGCATGCATGAGTCACCAGCGCTAATCTAGACCAAGCCGAAGGCATAATGAAAGGCAAAAGAATGCGTCATTCGTGGTCATAACCTTTAGGCTGCCATGGCAGAACTCTTCTCAAACGAGACTCGTTTATAATTCATTGCGCGTAACTCTTCGATTCAATGCCCTGGACAGTTGTACTGCTCGGTATACTTGAGCAACATCTTACACCGCATTTCTTCCGCGTCTACATTCCCTAAACATATATAATGAATGAAACAGGTACTTTTGACACGAGCCCATTGAAATATTTTTCAGTCTATGAACTTTATTCATATATAATATTTGAAATAGTTTTCTGGACAATTTTTGCGATATCATAGGAATACAAACTTTTTGCGAAATATTGTATTGTTAAATTATATTTGTTACAAATCAAGAACAAGTGATCTGTTTATGACAATAAGTCAAGTTTAGCGGACGCATAAGAAATGATGAACGAATGAACAACTTTTCCCAGAATTGTTACACGAAAAATCCCTTGAGAACACTTCCGCTAATGTAAGAATGTATTAAACTTTGTATTGCATCATATTAAATAACTTCAACATTATTAAAACTGTTAAAAATTAAAATTTATGAACAGAAAACTCAACGACTCGTGAACTCTATTTGACACAAACAAAGAAACTGAACGCGCGCTGAACGATGGAAACAATAACGACAGCTGGCGTCTTTTCTGGTTTCACGCACGATGGTCGTCACGAAAGTTTTCACGCACGATGGTCTATAGAAAATATCGCAGTTTTTCAGGCGAAATGAGAACGTCTTCATGATGAGATAACCAAATCAATGTTGTGTTAGTAACTCACATTATTAATGCCACATATACGACATTTTTTGGCTCAACTGTTCGACACGAGTTTTTCACCTTCAACGAAGGAGGTAAAGCATGATTTCAACTCCACGCAAAGCTGTTAGAGGGAAGTGCGTACTGCAGCGGTGCGTACAGCAGCGGTGCGTACAGCAGCGGTGCGTACAGCAGCGGTGCGTACAGCAGCGGTGCGTACAGCAGCGGTGTGTACAGCAGCATACGAGCAAGGGAGACAAGGTGACAGGTCATACCGAGAGATAACCTCCCCTGCAGTCAAATGACGTTGAAACAACCTTGATTACGAGTTGATTCATTTGAATCAACTTTATTTCAACGCCAGATCGAATGAGTCGCAATCTGTAGTATCGGACTAAAAACATAGTTACGGGAAAGCAGAATTCTCAACAACCAAAATTTTCTATGCATGTTAGCGCTGTTAATACTCGTTCACAATGAAGCGATGTTATTCAAAAGTTGCAGCTCGTTTACACAAACGTAAAATCGAAACGCAACTATTCATTTTTTTTTTTTTCAAGAAAAACTGCAGTTTGCTATATTTCTGGTCTGGGGGCATAAAGGTGAAACTAAAACATCGTGCAATATACACTTATTAATTTCCAAAAAAAATGACTAAAAAGTAGTACAAATTTTCGTAACACGAGCTTCAAATTTGAGCTAATCCATAGCCACAAACGCTTTGAATACTAAGATGGATTCACCCTTCAAATGCAGGTTGACTCACTCACATCTACCTGACAGAATTACAAACTCTTGAACATTTTTAGCGCATTTTCTCATTTATGCACTATTGTGCTCGCCACTATTGCAAAAAAATGCACTATTGTGCTCACCATGTCCGTCTGTCCGTCCGTCTGTCCGTCTGTCTGTCTGTCCGTCCGTGACTTCATGTTTTCGTCGACGAGAAAATGCGCTCACTGTCACTCACTTCAGTGAGAACTGAGTTTTTTTTTTCAACGTACGGCCCCACACCGACAGACAGACGGAGTTACAAACTATTGAATATTTTTCATAGTACGGCCCCACACCGACAGACTGACGGAATTACAAACTCTTTAATATTTTTTTATTGTACGGCCCCACACCGACAGACTGACGGAATTACAAACTCTTGAATATTTTTTATAGTTTGGCCCCACACCGACAGACTGACGGAATTACAAACTCTTGAATATTTTTTTATAGTACGGCCCCACACCGACAGAGTGGACAGACTGACGGAATTACAAACTCTTGAATATTTTTTTATTGTACGGCCCCACACAGACAGACTGACGGAATTACCAACTGTTGAATATTTTTTATTGTACGACCCCGCACCGACAGACTGACGGAATTACAAACTCTTGAATATTTTTTATAGTACGGCCCCACACCGACAGAGGCACGAGACAGTGACGGGCAGCAACAGGTTCATCAATAAGGGTCTGTGGAATGCGTGGCACCGAAAGTTGGGTGCCTACAAGACGCGGTCTCGAGCCTCAGTGTGGTGTTAGTCGTCGTAGGGGTAACACGTGCTGCTCGCTGTAGTGACGCTCTTCACTGGGATTGACTGGTTTGAACTCGGCACGTGGATCATTACCTTAGCTTCGTTTAATCTCAAAGCAGTATTAATGCAAATAATTTTATTTCAAGGGATATCATCAACAGGAATATGTGTAGAACACAAGAATTACTTGCATAATAAGTAAGGAAACTAAAGCTAGTTTTGTAAATTATCTAGATTATATTCGCAGATAAATGAACTTTAAATTATTTCAACTGTGTTAGTTTGCTGCGGTGATGTTGATGCGCTAATAAAGCGTCGTAAAATATTTTGACAGTAAATGATCTTAAACGATTGATAAAGCAAATAACAAATAAAGGATTGTAGGATATGATGATGAAGAAAATTATACGTACACATAACTGTGATAAAATTAACTGTTTAGACGTTTTGGAAACCCTTGGAACTGTGATTTCAAAGTGCAATATTTTTCAGATTTGCAGATAACATGAAATGACAACAAAACTTTAGAAAAAAAATCACGTCAAAGCCTTATAGCTATCTTATAGATAAAAGAATCGAGTTTGTCTGGATTTTTTGTTGCATCACGAAAGAAAGTGTATGGCTATAAACTAAATAAGTTTATTAAGTGTAGCAGTGGTGCGTGTGTGAGAAGCTACTCTACGACAACAACAATTTGCTGAGAAGTAATTCATAATTGAAATAAAAGGAGAGAAGACGAAGATGACGTCTTTGTGGCGGTGAGTACATTACTACATTTATAAGTGAACAAACTGTGATGGATAAATAAATAATATGCAGAGGATATATCAGAGAAAAAGGAATATCACGCTAGCAATAAGATAACACATAACATCAACCCGCCTTACGTTCTTCACTTGCAAAAAACATTTCGTCCGAGATATCTTCATTAAAATTCATAACCAACGCAACACAGTTAAGTTCGACTTCATGCTTCATGATTCTATCTTTGGTTTTCAATTTATTGTATATAGAAACGGCAAAAGGGAGAACGTCTGAATATTTGGAATTACTAATCAGGACATACTGCATGATCAATATTAATAAGAATTTTCATAAAATATTTTATTGTTAATCAACTGTATTTTACATTACCTCCAAGCTTAATTAAGAGCAGCAGCGCCAAACAATCCACGATTCGAACAATCCGCGATATTTGAATTGCACCATAAATTGATTTTTTCAGTGCAGCGCAGCGTTTCATATTCTATTCCAGAACATTTTGTGGGCCGGACGAAAACTATCTATAAGGATTTTTAAATAATGAATTTATACCTGACAGGATAAGTAAGTAAAATACTCAATTTTATCGATAATAATTGCGTCCGTGTATATAATATAATTGCGTAATATAATATAATTGCGTCCGTGTATATAATATAATTGCGTAATATAATATAATTGCGTCCGTGTATATAATATAATTGCGTAATATAATATAATTGCGTCCGTGTATATAATATAATTGCGTAATATGATATAATTGCGTCCGTGTATATAGTTGCGTCCGTGTGTATAATATGTAAGTAAAATGCTACTTGATCATTCCGCTTCATGGAACGTTTTTTATGTGCGAAAAAAGTATTCTTCAAATGATGCTCACCGATGTGGTAAAAATTTACATGAAGCCGTCGCCTGACATTTTACATTCATATGGGCTATTCTTCGAGAGGAAACGTGGAAATAGAGAGTTCTCGACGTTTCATTTACAAACTTTCTAAACTTAAAAATTTTCAAGACTTCAGGGATTTCAACTCAAGAAATTTTGAAAAATTTCCCCGACTGATTTCCACGCACAATTAAGAAGGCCTATTTTATATTTCCATAGAGTTAGAAAAATAATCATTGCGGAAGTAGAAGGCTTAGGAAATGTTATAGGCTAGCATTGTGAGAGCTACCACCACATGCGAGGACCGAATGATTGCCATTTATGATCTAAATGAAAACCATCAGTTCCTTAGGAACTATAACGAGCTAACAGGCAAACCTAATAACCAGATTATCTAATAAGACGAGAGGCTTTTTAAGAGTCATTTGAAATATTACTTTATAGGAGCAGAGGTATGCTAATGCAAAACCATATTAAAGCTTGATCTTGAGTATGGGCAACATACGAAGGCTAAAAGTGAGAGCGTGCATAAGTTTTATTTCTGGCATGTAATGCGAAAAAAATTCACATGTTATCAAGCAAACACTGTAATTCGACATTTCAGGCATCATATAAAGAATTATCTCAACCTGTTATTTTCCAGTAAATTTTTCATATTACAAGCAAACGACGAGAAAACTCATATAACGGTAAGGCAAAGCTACCCTTTGGCATGGGATGACCTTTACGAGCAATGCGCTAGTGTGACACAAAAATATTAATTAAAATTATTTGGAATATCATAGCGCCATGTCGGTCTCATGAGCGTGAAACGCGAGACCGATCAAAATAGGCTGTAAAATTTCATTATTGAACGCGGTAAGAAAATCTCACTGCCTAAAGAAATACAAAATCAGAACTTTCAAATCCCCAACACAATAAAAATGTTAACCCAATTTTTTTAGTTCACCACATTTTAACTCAAACGTCAGTGTTATGACTACGACATCTGAATTTGAAACTTAACAGAGTAAAATACCATTCAAGCGAAAGAAGATACACTAAAATATGTCTGTAAGCGATCGCGCAGTGACAAGTTGTTCGAAAACTGGCTAATCGCATTTGTTTTAGGGCAGCAAAATAACGGGAACTGACCGACTTCGTCAAGAACAATACAGCACCGTTGGACACACACGGGAATTAGGTGACTTTCTTTCAGTGGGAAACAATTGCGTCGAAGTGAAATGTCAATATTAAAACCCACACTTAAGCATGACGCAAGAAAGTTATGGCCGCGTATTTGAACAAAGATGTAGAAGGTATCGATTTGAACGAGTCAACCTACGCACTTTTTCTCAGACTATGAAAAAAAATATCTTCTTTCTCTTGAACCTTTGTACGTACTCATTGCACAACGTTCTTTGGTGCTTAACAAAAGATCCGAATTATGTGTTGCTCATAAAACTTCTCCTTCGATGCCGGAACATAATTTCTTTAACAGAGAATCTTGGCCAACAAACGCGAGACTAAAACCAGATCGTCTGAGGTACACGAGAAGCGGCCACGACGAGTGAGATAAACGACTTCTTTAAAAAATGAATCCGATAACCGAAAAAAAATCAGAATAATTTCTGCGTTCAATAAATAATTATCAATGGGCAAATAATTTACTTTGAAAAATAACAGGAGAGCATGCCAAAACTATTCAGGTATTGAGAAATTACTGTTTTAGCAACAAAATTTTTTCTTGAAATAAACACGGGATTGTAAAAAAATCATTGGACAAATATAACTATAGATTAGAAAAGAAATTGAAAGATCCTGAATAATATTCCAAGTAACTCGGGGGAAATAAAATAATTAAAAATAAGCCCTGCTTGCAGCTTCCAGATCAAGTGACCAAGTGACATTATAGGGGAAAAAATGTGAAAGCTTCCTAGAAGAGTGAAAGTGAGCTTTCATTTAGAAGGTATAATGTACACCTAGAGTACGCAAATTAGGTAATAAATAATTAATAAACTGTAGAAATCATAAATTACGAGTTTTTAAGTTCCCGTCCATTTTTTCAAACCAATTACAAAATTTTACCATCGAAAAACGTTTAATATTTAATAAGATTTTCGATTAAAAGGTAATTCGGTTCTTCAGATTTCTTTTCACGACAGATAACCGGCTTTATTATACTTGAGTAGAAATGACTTTTCAAACGAATGTCCGACAAAATCTGCCACGAGAGATTTTTACATTTTGGCAATATTTAATCAGCTTTTCTAACGATAAAACGAACATATGGGGAGTTTTGAACTTGAAAAATCAGGTTTGAGTTTCCAAGGGCGGAAGAAAGTCAAAGTATCATTCTATTTAAGGAATAATATAAAATGCATCAGATTATAAGGGCGCAGGTGAATGTCACGCAGGTCCCCCAATCCGATCACAGTGATTGGACGAACTGTGTGCTCATCACAATGACCTCAAACGAGATGCCCTAACGTAATCATGAGCTCAAGTATAGCCTAGCCTCTGTTTGCGCTAGTTCGCTGAGCTGCATAGAATAATCTAGTCTCCTTGAAATTATTGTCTATTGTATGCGCAATAAAATACTTCAAACGTCGTTAGAAAAACGCAACTTGACAAAATATACGTCGATTCACTTGAAATAATCGAAGAGACTTTCCTAATTAAGTATGAAAAGCATGTTTCTTTTTCATTCGACGGTTTTTTGTGGCCGCAAAAATTGTTCCAGAATGGCAAAACGGTTTTTAGAAATTTGGAACATCGTATCTTAAAAGTTATATGAAATTAATTTTTGTACTTAATGAAGTCAATGTGCAACAATGAGGGAATATACGTGTAGGCAGTACAATGATAAACGTACGTCACACTTGATAACAAAAAATGCATGGAGGTTCACTTTTTACGAGACTTCTGCGGTCTACACTTCAAGTGACAATAGAACGACAGAGCATAACTCAAAACACAAAATTCTGTAAATGCCATCTAAGTAAGACAGTGTAGAGAGTTGGCGAGAAAAAACTAACGTTAATGTTAATGCTCCATTGAGAGTTCATTGAGAGTCCATAGACCCAAATTCTCGAGACCTAATCTGCGACTACAACCGGAACTCGAAGCTTGAGGTTTGGAGCAGTCAAGGTCCGGTAAAGCGTGTTGACTTGGGCCGTAGAGAGCTGAAGTTTATCCACGGTCTGACACGGTTAGCCTGCCATGATATGTTATATTCTTCTATATTCTATATTCAAATTCTTGAGAGCTAATCTGTGACTACAACCGGAACTCGAAGCTTGAGGTTTGGAGCAGTCAAGGTCCGGTAAAGCGTGTTGACTCGGGCCGTAGAGAGCTGGAGTTTCTCCACGCGCTGACACGGTTAGCCTGCCATGACGTATGCTGGATACCAATGAGCCAGCACCGGCACTTTGTTCCTAAGGATACTATGGATACTTCGTTTCTAAGGATACTATAGATACTACGTTCTTAAGGACACTATAGATACTTCGTTCCAAAGGATACTATGGATACTTGGTTCTTAAGGATACTATGGATACTTCGTTCCTAAGGATACTATGGATACTTGGTTCTTAAGGATACGTTTGTATCAACCCATGAACAGGGCAAAATGGTCACTTGACCATTCCTTGGCCAGTAGATGGATAGACAGACAGTTTAGAAATTGTAGTAAAAAAATAAAATAATAGTTTTGAAACGGTGACCGTACTGGGAAACGTCAAAATTGCCATGATAAAAAAATCAAAATGTTCTTATTGTTAGAGTATTTTTTGACAAGACGTTGAATTGAATTAAACTACCGTTAGGTCGCAACATTGTGGATAAAAACATTCCATGCAATAGGCTATCCAATAATATTTATATCGCCATTCAAGAAAGGAAGTTCTGATGCATTGAATGCAAAGAGAAAATATTTAGAATACATTTTCACTGCGTTGAAGAAAATTGTGAACTGTTCGAGATTTAAAAGTTTATTCTATGCTAAAATTTTATAAGTATTATTGATTTCACAACTGACGACATAAATATTTAGTCAGAAAAGGTGCAATCAAGTATTAAGATCAACAATGACATTCAAAGCATATTAATGTTAGAATATTGATTATTTTG